ATTTACGCGTGAGAATATCAGCGTGCTTTTGTGTTGTTTTCGTCTTTGATACTCGGACGAGAAACTTGTCTTTGAAGCTCGGCAAAGAATTTATCATATTCCTATAAATATTTCAGTTCCTTCAATCTTCGTGAAACTTTACTATCCAGACGAGTAACAAGGAACAAAGGTATGACCGGTTACTACTCTCAACTACAATATTTGAGAAACAAAATTTCACGAAGTTAAAATTGAAATAGTTTCTAAATTAATTGCTCGCAGACATACGCTGCTACGGTCAAAAGTTTAAGATTACTGTACCTACGTGTTGAGCAAGAAACTTTCACGTTTCGAAAGTGATCTTATTTAAGAAACTTTTTACATAATGTCCAAATATACCTATCTAATTATCTATGGACATTAGTTAAGTATAAAGATTTATAAAAAATGTAAACAATTTTTGTAATTTACGCTACGCACTTTCGATTTATTGAAACTTTCAAATGGCATATTATTCCAACAGTGTTGTAAAATCTCCATTAGATATTTTTTTTTTTTTTTTTTTTTTTGTGAGGTTGAGACTCAGTTTATGTTTATTAAAGTCTCCTGATCTTTTTTATTGCTCTGTATAACTTGGAAGGATGTTTATGATTCTGTTCTGCATAATAAGTTTAAAAGCAAAGGTACTTACGTAGCGCAAATCTATTTACGCAAATTCTAAATTAATACAAATGGTCTTAAACTTTTGACTGGTGGATTCAAGTACATCCAAGCACGCTACCTTCAACAGTTTCTAAACAATGTCACCAACAAGTTAGCAACTATTCAAAGCTAATTGAAGACGTTAAATATGATCGCAGTGGCTTCAAGGAACTTCAAGAAACTCGAACGTGGAAAGATCAAAATAGCAAATTTCCTTTCTTGACGTTAATTTGCATCTTGTTGCCCAAGTATTGAAGCGGCGGCGGAGCTAGAATAGTCTCAAGTAGTATTAATCAACAGGAATAACTCTTAGGCGATTGAACTAGAGCTGGAGAATCACAAAGTGGTATTTTACTTAGCTAGAATTAATCATCATCAACGAAACAGCGTGTCAACTGAGAATTGTTACTCAAGAGGGAATGTGATGAAATTTTTCTAATCATTTTATCAAGCTTATCTCAGTTCTTTAATCAATTTTCGAGTCTGCTCTTTCATCGTATTTCAAATCAAATTTTTATATCTCACTTCTTCGCGACGAAGTATTCTTTTTATTGAAACGTGCATTGGCAAAAAGTATTTGGAATAATTAAAATTTCCCTGCTAGAATATCGCAAAGATTGGTCAAACAAGTTGAAACCACTTTGCCAATTTAAAAACTTTCCACTTTACTCGGCACGAAGTGTCCTTCCGAGTTTCGTTCGAAGTTGGCGCGTTCTTTTAATTGTTCCGTGACTTCGAAGAAATAAAATACGAGAAATAACGTGATGTTCAGTTTCGTTCTTGCGGACATTTGTTCCCTAAATGTAGGATCAAATGTTGGAAACTTTGTCTTCGATTGTGGGAAGTAAATGACGAAATTTTTCTGAAATTTTCGTTCGACTTCGAGTTGATCAAAACGATTCTATATACAGTGAGAATTCTTTTCCATCAAATTCATTTATTAATTCAAGTTAATCCTTCAAGCTCGAGTTGTGCTTTGAACTCGTGACAGTTGAAAGTTTGAAATTTCTCTCACTGTTGCCAATTAATGTTTCATCAAACCTAGATGTCACTTTACTTGTCTACTATTTGAAATCTGATTACTTACTTGAAGTCGATTTGTAACAACTTTGAAATGTTGTTTCGCCAAACAAGAAGGCTGTCAAAGTTTATGAAAATTGAAACAAGAAATTACACCAAGCAAACACGTATAATGTCCATATTTGTATAATATGCAAACGCAGTAACTATCCTAAAAGAGTTCTGTCCTTACATTTTCTTCAATCAAACCAAATTATTTTCAACAAACGAAGGTTACGATTTACATTCGGTTAAATAGCCAAGCATCTTATTCGATACAATTCTGGGGCGTGGGAATGAGCACGATAGGTATCGAGCAGGTAGGATCGTGTGCAGATCCAGAAGGGCGGAAGTCATCGAGCCGATATCAAGTACGATATCCACGTATTATGCGCAATATTCGTAGCTCGAGTAATAGATAGCCGCGGGGGCAATATTAGCAATCGATCAAAGAAACTTTACATCCATATGGATTTCGCGTGCTCGGCAAGAATCTTTGCATTAATACCACCCCTGCGAATGTATTATTCTTCAAGCTACGTGATTTCGCCGTTCTTCCCTCTCTTTTTTTTCACCCCTCTCTTTTCCTTCTTCTGTGAAAGTTGAGCACGTTGAACGTGAGAATAGTCTCGGTGATAAAAGTCAGTTTCGAGAGGAACGTCACGGAATATTTCTTGTATGTGGAGAGCTGCGAGATTGTTTCTGATTTGAAGAAAAAAAAAATTTGATACCTCTCGGGGGTCCGTGAAATCATCGTGGGTCGTAAATTATAATTGTCATATGATATTCTGTAATACGTGTAATATAATATTTTAATAATTCTCAGTATTCTATTGAGAACATTCTAATTACTAGAATCATTGTAATAGTCTGTAATACTTTAATGACTCTCGAAACCAATTAATTTGGAAGTTAGAGAAATAAACTTTAAATTTCTACGAATAATTAAGCGTAAATTCGTTGCAAGTGAATTAAGTGTAATTTTACTCGAAAAGGAGCCTTTCTTGCGTCCAATAGTACGATTACAGACTTATTTTTATCATCAGTTACGGGACATTTTATCTCGAAATTGTTTCGAGATGATATTTCAAACGTGTCTCTTCGCCGAGTTCTGTTTCGCATCGATCGGCATACGAACAAAAGCCCTCGTTTTGTTTTATTTTATCTACAATGGAATAAAAAAAAGGAGAAGCATGCTCTACGGTTATGAAACGCCTACGCAATTATTCCATTGCCGAAAACAAAGAGGATGGATGAGAGAGAGAGA